CAGTTACAAGTAAGAATGTAAGATAGAGTGAGATGCTCGTCTTCAGAGGATTATTAACAGTGTATAAGAAATCTGTTCTATAGTCCAGAAAAATCCATTGTCTATGGCCCTTTGAACCATGCTCCAGAAAATTCATTCTCTAGTCCAGAAAAATACATTGTATTTCAAAATGTCCTACGAAAAGATACCTGCACACAACCTGCATGCCAAACGTTACCATCCATAAAAAAAAAAAAAAACCTTGGTCATGATTTCTCATTCTCTCTCTGCTAGGAGCAATCACTTTCTACCAGATACCATGGTCTTTTTAGATAAGGTTTGGATACCCTACATGTCTGAAATATTGAACATAATAAAAAGAAAGAAAGCGTCACTCTCCTCAATATAAAGACTGGTACGCAGTTTATACAATGTAGTGGTACAGGGTCACAGCAAGAAAAGTTGGCCTATGGCAGAGATTATCTTAGATCAAAGATAAAAATGCCTTTTTGTTCTGGTTCACATAACATGTATATACTCTACTTAGACATTGTAGCAACTGTGGAAGGACTTGAGAGTTGAGACTGTACAATTCATGGACATTGGGGAGATCCATGTACAGAGTAACTCATCGCAAGCTATCTGTATCCTTAATAGTTGATGTCCTCCAACTTAGCGAGTTAATAGCTTAGTTGAGGTCTTGAGATAGTAATAAATATTAAGGAACCAATATTAATATATTATGTGGGTTATTTCATACATACTAACAGGGTTGCAGACGTTACAGTTCATGTTATATTTATTACAATTACAAATAGTACAGGTCTGCGTAAACTGAACTTGATTCTGTGAACTAATAACGGTGTACAACTCCAAAGGAAATCAATATATCTTTCTTAAGCTTCCTGTCCGTAAAAAAATACTGCGATGAGTAGCTAATAATCCCAATTTAAAATACTACATTCTACATTCTTTACACAGAACTAATATAATTGCTAAGCAAATGATACAATAGGGAATTTACACCCAAAAAAATAATAATAACTTTGCAAAATTAAGATCCCAAACAAATTTCAGATAAATTCCCACACAACCAATTAAATAATTTCGAAGAATTTATAATCTATGACATAAAAATATGTAAATACCTAAAGTTCATTTCAAATTAAAAT